TAGTTAATAATGATTTCATTTGATAAGCACAAAAAACATCTAATTTTAGTCTAAAAAGATTACTTACCATTTTCAAAATCAACGCAACACTCTACAAAACACAAACATCACGCTAAAACATTCGACTTTTTCGCGCAAAACGAAATAAATTGTTTTGAATGCCCGCGAGTTCCTACACCATATGATTTTAAAAGGATTGCTGAATGTTTTGAAATCGACGTTCATTTTACCGACCCACTTGTACATTTGAACTACTATTTCATTAACCGGTAATAACAGGCTTAATTTTTAAAAAGTTAGTTTCAAATTATCAATTACATTGCAATTATTCATATTTAATGAAACGTTTCGATATCTATAACAAGAAATGCCCGAAATATACACATCCATGCTGACACCAAATCAGCTGCGGCACAGTTGCTTTTTCGCATTTAAAAAGGTAATTTAAAAATCAAATTTTAATTTGTTTTTATGCCCTAACATTAATTCATTCAAGCGGACCGCATGAAACGTTTTAATGAAAAAAATAATTACTTCGTTTTTAAACTTTTTTAGAAAGTCCTAAACTAACTTTTTTTATTATTTTAGACATGAAATTATTACATCATGATGCTTAAGGACCCAAAATAGACTCTACAATAACTCTAAAAATATATCAAGACAACGCAATAATTACGTACCCTGAGAACATTCAAAAATGTTGCCTATTAAAACTATAACTGAGCCAAAAAGGGTAAAACAGCAAAACGAGCTTTTAAGTATACTAAAACAAAGCTAAGAGAACACAAGCTCAATTGTAAACTAACGACAACATAAACATTTATTTATTTACACCACTTTACACTGACGAAAGATACGCTCCTTAAAAATAGTCTTGTGATTGTCGTTTCTAACGCAGTTTTCTTATTCACAGGCCCATTACAACTTCCAAAAACAATACGTGCCAGTACAGCAAACCCTGCATTCATTCAAATACACCTGTTTTTCCTTTTACAAAATACAAACTGGCAATTACAATTTCCTTTATTATTGTCGCTTGAGGATAAAATAAATCAAAAAAAAAGAAAATTAAAATGGCACTACTACCAAACTATATATACAAATACAGTGTACAATTGTGGACTTTGAAGTCCAAAAATAAATATAAAATTATCTTACGACAATATCTCTTCATTTTCTCCACTTCATCATTTAATATAATATAATAATTACACGCAAATAAATTACAAAGACACGATAATTAATTATTTAAGGGCAGTAGTTGCGGTTAATAGAAAGTATTGCACTACAGAAAAATAACCAAATAATAAATAGAACTTCCTTGGTTCTATTTCCAACAACAACTCGAATTACACATTTTCTTCACCGGTGCAAAAATAACAAAAAAGATTAAGATTAAAAAACAATAAAAAAAGAGACTCCCTATTTCTCTTTTTTTTTTTTCTTTCTTAAATAAGGCTGGGTCATTGGTCCCAAACCTGTAAAATGTTTCACAGTTTACAGAAATACGCTCGTTAAAAATGACCTTCAATACACGGACTCGGGCAACAAGTGGAATGTTTTTAATATACATACTTTTCATTTATTTTACTTTCTTATGAATTATAACATTTTTTTGGTATCGCGAAGGATGGTTGATAAATGGCACTGAAATCAGTTCACGCGGTCATATCTAACGAGCTCTCCGACAAAAAAGTTCGGCTACATTTTATTTACAATATAATCAAAAATTGCTATACTCGATTTGTACATCTAACTCAATTATTCTAGCTAAAAAACGCTTTAATTCATCCACTTTCGACAGTTTGGGGCCCCGCACATACACGATATCTTATGCTGGTCGTCTTCAATGTCAAATTTGTAGTCGTATGCCAACTAAAATATCAATTTGGATTTAAAAAATGCCTAATATATATGATACCGACCTTCATATTGATAATTACAACATTAATACCATCTCTTTATAGCGGTGTATCAGTTTAATGAATGCTTTAAAGAAAATTATTATAATAATAAAAAACAAAAACTTACCTCTTCACCTCTTTGAATTCGTCTTTTGGCGAAAATAATTATTCTAAGATCCCTATCGACCTCTACTATTTCTGCAACACAATTCGGGTTACAGGAGTGATTTATGTACCTAGCTAAGCCACCAGACAATGTGGCATCTATGACTCTCTCCTCATCTAGCCGGAACATATAAATACCTCGATTCTACAATGGAAAGTTTCATGTATTAAAACAGGTTAAATATAATATAGATAAGTTGAAAATTTACTTTAGCCTCATATTTCTTTTCTCTCGTCTCTGCAAGTTCTGTTCTAATAATTTCTCCAATATATTCGATCACCATGGTGTGTTTTTCCAAGTCTCTGGCAGCATACAGGCCCAATCCTTGAATTTTCGACCTAGAATTTATGTTGCGTCTTAAAAGTAAATATTTCTTGGACTGAAGTCATAAAAATTGCTTACCTGGCAAGGTAAACATTGTTTCTCCATTCTTGTTTCATTTTCTTGTATTGAGAGCTTTTTGAGTGAACGAACTGTTTACTATAAGGACACACAGCCTCGTTCATGCCTTGTGCAGTGGGAACAAAAACAGGCCTGACCGAAGACCCTGTCCTCTGAGTATGGGGCCGTTTCCAATGAAACTGATTCCTTAGTTTCGGCTCTGTTCTGGCCGCCCCTGACGGATTTATTGCGAGCGGAAGCTCCAACAGAGGATTCCTGCCATATTTAAATTTATAATCGGCCAAGGTTTCTATCCCTGCAAAAATATGAAGAAAAAAGTTAATCGTTGTGCACACTTAAGAATTATAGGTAGATAGCTAACAAAAATTTGTGTAAGTTACCTGGTAAACTTTCAAGAACTCGTACAACTGCTGGTTCTGTCAGTCCAAAAAGATCTTCCCCATTAACGAACTTGGGGAACATTTGTAGACACTGGTTTTCTCGTCTAAGTTGGGCGATTTTCTCCAAAATGGGAACCCACGCGGCTTTGGGCGTGCTCTCTCTGTACTCCACGTCCTCTTCAGGAGGATCCTGTACCAGTACCCGGAACTCTGGTCGTCCAGAAACGTCATGAATTGAACAAATGTACCGACATCGTTTATTCAAATGCCTAGTGCTCCAATAAAATCTAATGATTTTGTACCCAATCGGATAAATATAGTTTGCTGTGTGGAAATTTTGAAGTTGATGGGGCAAGAGTTGACCGACGTTCAAAAATATCAAACTACCGACCCGGAGGAGGTTGTTGGTATCTGACGAGTGCTGCATAACAGCTGCAACTTGTCTGTTTTCATCCCTGTTCACGTATACCCGACGCCATACCGATAAAGTCGTCAACTCGTTGTCTTTTTCGTTTTTCGGGTAGTGAGACGTGCAATAGATTGTTTTGTTCTTATAAAACACACATCCGTCTTTGACCGCACAACCGAGGTGGTACACGTTCAAACACCGAGTCTTAAAGCAGCGTATTGTGGCCCCCAATTTGCTGCAGAAAACGCAGACGGTCACTAGGCTTAGTTGGAGAGCGTTCTCAAGATTCATAAGAGCGCCGTTGACCGTTTCATACACCCCGTCAGACCAAAGACCACAGTTAAGGTGCACCCACTTATCTACATCGAAGTTGAGGAGTCGCGCAGTGCCGTCTGAAACACCGTCGCTGATTCCATGGCAAAACATGCACTTTCGTGTGTCTTCGAAATTCTTTTGCGACCTTACCGTTATACCCATTCTGAAATAAAAACCATTTGTTAAAAACATTTTACACAGCACTTAATTTAATACTTACCGATATAGCAATTCCATTATTTCGTTTTCTGTCGGTTTCTTGTGTTTTATTACAGGCTGAAGAGCTCCGTAAGTCCAATAGCGATATTTCATTTGCTTCCAAGACTTATCTTGTTTACTAATTGGTACACTGGAATTTTTCTTTTGGTCGAATTGGAACGATTTCGTCAAGAAGTTAGTGTCAGGTTTTACATCCACGTCCATGGCGTCAAAATTATCTGATCGGAATAAGTTTACGTCCATTTTTGTCATGTCTGGTTTCTTTTCGTATGAGAACACATCACTTTCGTAGTTGGGCTTTTTATTTCGAAGACTATCTTCCTTATGGCTCAAATGATCAACTATTGCAGCAGCCTAAAATTAAGAAAAAAAAATAATACTGAGAGTGTACAATTGATGAAACCGAAAAGAAAATGTGCTAAAACTACGTTAATCTGTTCAATAATTAAAATTTTTATTTTAAAAAATCGTGAAGCTATCGAAAACTTCCTTTTGTAATTACCTTATCTTCCGTTAAAGATGGTGATCTATGCATTATAGCAAACTGCATGTAACAAGCTGAACTACAAAAGTACAATTCGTCTCCATCGCCTAATAAATCTGTGTCCTTAGAAAGGAATGGCAATTCAGATACTTTCTTCCTAATCATGCTGTTAAGTATAACTACATCACAATGCCTGCAGAATTTTGCTGCCCCATTGAGAATACTTTGAATGTCAATTGGTGCTAAAAAATATAAAATAATTTTAAAAAATTAGTAAAGGTAAAGATAAAAATGTTTAGTTACCTCCTTCCCTGCCATCTTTCCCTTTAGTTCGATACAATCCCAACTTTTGACCTGGAGGAGTACTGGTTCTTTCGACGATTTGATAACTAGTAGGAGGTGGAATGTGTAAAAGGTTTGCCAAGTCTCGAAGAACCCCCATTATGTCTTCAGCAGCTGAAGAGGTTAATGTCAAAGTAACTGTAACATTTCCAGAGTCCCTTAGAGGTATTGGAGGAGTCTGACTAAATTTAGTCTTTACACCCATAAATTCTCTTCCAATATTTTCTTTGTCCACATCTGCATAATCCTTTATGTATGGTCCAACTGGTTTCAGCCTTATAGGTATAGGAACGATGAGTGGAATTACAGGTGACAACCTCATTTTCTTTGCCTTTTCCTCTTCACTAACCTCGTCATCTTCATCGTCTTCTTCGATGAGTTTTAATCCCAAGAACTTGCTGTATGATTCCGGTAAGGTAGTTTCTGGTGAAGAACTACTAATAATAGAATCAGGAGTATCGTTGTCTCTACTGAACAATTCAAACTTCCTATCTTCGTCATTGTCAAATTTGATAAGTGGGAACTCTTGGTCGTAGAAACCTCGCTGAGTAGATGGCGGAGGTTTTTCTGGTAACGGTTCCAAAGGACCGTACGGCTTTGTATTGTAGTAATCAGTAAAGCCTGGTACGGTGGCATTCCCATAAGAACCAGTAAGATCACCGTAACGAGAATCATAATTCTTTAAACTAACTTTGGATAAGTCACCAGAACCAAATACAGGCACAATTGCATAATTTTTACCAAGAACAGGCTCTTGAACGACCATCGCAGGCAACGTTCTCAACTGTGATAACACCCCGTCTATATAAGAGTCGTAATCTTCCTCCACCTTCGAACATTTTCTCTGTCGTTTCTTGGGAGGCCCACCGGCAGATTCTTTATTTAACAACTGATTCTGCCTTCTCTTCTGTTGGTAGACTCTTCTCTTCAACTTTTTCAACTCTTCTTTCTGATCAGCTGCAGATCTTTCGACCATATCCAATGACTCCATCTCTTCCTTAATCTGTATGTCAGAACGACTTTGATCAGAAACTTCAGAGTGTTGTGACGACTCATCGACCAATTCTTTTTTAACTTCTAGTGGCGTTAAAATTGGACTTTGCTGAGACGAAACGGACATTGGCTCCTTCTTGATGACTAATGGAGGTGTCTGAAGGCTGGAATCTTGGCTACATGACGATCTGGGAGTAGGAGGCGACAACAGCTCGTCCCTACTTGACGTACGACTCGGTGGAAGACATTTTTTCACGTCAATATGTAACTGAGTAGTCGCAGGTGTTGAAACATGCAGTTGTTGTTGATGCAATGTTTGATTTTGTTGCTGTTGCATCGACTGATTTTGCTGCTGTTGTACTGGTTGACTTTGTTGCTGCTGTAGCAACACTTGATTCTGCTGCTGCAGCAACACTTGATTCTGCTGTTGATTTTGTATAGATTGATTTTGTTGCTGAATCGATTGATTCTGTTGTGAAATAGGTTGGCTTTGCTGTTGAATAGATTGACTCGGTTGTAAAATAGATTGACTTTGCTGGTACATAGATTGATTTTGTTGCTGCGAAATTTGTTGTTGATGCAACGCATTTTGCTGTTGTTGTAAAACCTGTTGCGATTGTTGTTGTTGCTGAAAGCTTTGTTGTTGTTGCTGCTGAAAGCTTTGTTGTTGTTGCTGCTGAAAGGTTTGTTGTTGTTGTTGCTGAACAGGTTTCGAAATAAAGGACGTTTCTCTACTAAAGATCGTTCGAGCTTGTGTTGTTTTGAGTGCCTGACTGGTGGATGTGGGTGCTTCGGTTTGTTGTAAAAGTGGAGGCAACAAAGGGGTAGGTGTAGGAGGCACGGGACGAGCTAACTGCGCCTCCAAGCTTGGAACTATAGGTAAACTAGGTGCTGTGGTAGTTGTATTATTACTACTGCTGGTCGAAACCAAACTAGAAGGAGACGCTGTAGTTAAAGATTGCGTCGTTACACAGCCTGTATTTTGAAGCAATTGCTTCAGCAGTACATTCTGCGAATCTTCTATTTTAATCGAATTACCAGCAACATGAGTGAACTTTATACTATTATTTATTATCACAGCGGACGTTGATGTACCCCTCTGAGGCACAACCTCTTCCTTTTTCTTGTTGTCTTTAGAACCGTTATCTTCTTCTGTATGTGCAGAGGATTTAGATGTAAAATTGGTTCTAGTGAGCTGCGTATGCAGAAGGGTTCCTGAGGACGATACTGTCGGTTTAAATGAATCATTTGATTGGGATACAGACGTCGTGTGAGAACTGTTTCCGGTTGAAGATACAGAATGAACTTGAGGTTGTTGTTGCAATAAGGTGGTAACCACTGGAGAAACCACGTGAGGTTGAGCACTTATTAAGGAAGGGCTAAAAGCTGTTCGTGATATTGACATAGGTGTTTCGAGGATGCTAGCAGTTGTTATCGTACTGGGAGAAGTTTGAGCTACTGTGGCCGCTGGATGGGACTGAAGCATGGCATTCAAACTTAATGAGCCCTTCTTGGCTTGGGGAGAAGACGTACGGGGAACGCTACTTTCTGTTGCAGAAGTGATTACAGATGAAGAACGGTATAGAGGAGGGGCCTGGGAAATCACCTGAACACTTGAGGACGCCAGTGAAGTAGTAGATGTTGCCAACGATTTATGCTGCTGCTGTTGTTGCTGCTGCTGTTGGTTGTCTGCACTTATGCAAGAATTACGATTTGAAAGTAAATTTGTAATAACAGTTGATGAGGATGTCGAAGAAGATGGTGTTAAAGATGCAGTTACTTGAGAAGATGGAGATTCTGATATAGAACTGTTGGTTTTAGTAAATGAACCAGTAAAAGATAAACTACCGGTGTGCTCACTTCTTTTCTGTATAATTGCTGTTGTTAAAATTGTATTCTGCTGCTGTTCACTAACTGGCATGGGTCTAGAAATTTTAGGGGGTTCTTTACCTACAGCAGGTTCCTTTGGGTCTGTACTTTTCACAAGGGTTGTAACATTAGCCGAAGAAGTTACGGTCGTTGTATGCAGAGAAGACAATAAAGTGCGCAGTTGTTGTGACACGTTTGCCATATTGGTGGTCAGTTCAGTGGGTTGTGAAAGAGGCGATAGTTGAGGCATAGCGGTCGCCTTAGTCGTGCTTTTTATTGCTACGAAGCTGCTATCTGTACTATCTTTTTCAGTCGTTTTTGGAAGCGGTGCACGAGAAGGTGTTAAAGGGGGAGGAGTGACTTTCAATTTCTCCTTTTTCCTTTCGCTTTCCTGAGAAGATGAGGTATTGACGAAACTAGTTGCAGGTGACTTCTTAACAGCATCTTCCAAGACAGTGGGAGGTTCGCCAGTTATGTTTTCGATCATATCTAGAACGTCCTCGAATGAATCGAACTCTCCCGTAATTCCTTTCCCGTCTCTTCTCCTGCTTTCTAGGGCCTGCAGAGCGATATTATCAAGCATTTGTTCCTGCGAAGGAGTTGGAGAAGGTATGGAAATGACAACAGACTTATCGGTGTCACCATCGCTATGCCCTTCAACAGACTGAGATGTAATAAACGATGCAGACATAGATTCCCCACTTCTACTACCTATCTGCATATTGGTTTGTTTCTCTTGGATTACGTGAGCTGTCATCTTTAATTCGGGAGCGTTATGAACTATAACTGGCGATGATCTCTTAGTTACAACAGGACTTGGAAGTCTCTGTATACAATCACTTACAATAACGTTTGCGATCTGAATTGTTTCGATCTTTCTTAAAGACACTTCTTGAGGGGATTCTACAATTTCTTTTTTAAAGAAATGTTTAGTGACTTGTTTTTCTTCCGCAGGTTCTTTTTCGATAGATTTCGATTTCTGTTCGGCTGCAATTTTTTCAGGGAATTCTTTCTTCGATTTATCATCGTCGTTAGTGGAGCTATCTGGCGATACCGAACCATCTTCGAAGATTTTCTTTGGCAAACCTGTATCCTGTGTCGACAAAGATAGAGAAGACGACGGTTTATCAATGACCCTTACGTTGGGAAGTTTACTTAAATCACTTGCACTTATAACTGGAATGGTAAATCTAGATGGCAGTACAGAGGCGTTTCCACTGACTATAGTCAAAGGCGAAGCCGAAGTTATAAGCTTGGGAACACTAATAATATTACTTCGGGCAATACTAGTTTTAATTGGCAGAATAAAATTCGTAATGCCAGAAGTAATAGTGCTCCCGGTAGTCAATTTTGAAGGTTGGGAAGCGATAACAACATTTGCATTTGTTTTGGTAAAGATTGCCGACTGGGTAGAATTTCCAGAACCCTTGGTGTTGCTAATAGAAGTAACAGTTAAGTATGTAGTAGTGTTTTCGTTAGTGCTAACGTTAGTTAATTTAACGTTGTTAGCGGATTGGATAGACTGAACGAAAGATGTGTGAGTTCTTGGGATGTTAGATAAAACAATGGGGCTTGCTTGTGGCTGTGGCGAAGAAGAGATCATTGTGGATTTCTGATGTGAATTAGCTGCATATCTGTGGATTTCATTTATATGTTTGTTATTAATGAATTCCTGTTTAAACAACTTCTGTTTTCTTGATCCCTCATCTATAAGTTCTTCAAAGTCTTCTTTGGTTGATATCTGTTCCTCTGGAGATTTAATATTGGGATCAATTATAACAATTTCTGAATCTTCTAAGTTCGATATGAGTTCTTCGTCAGCAGACTGAGTGTAATTTTCTGGAGAACCTTCGTGAGCTGTATCTTCTTGGTCTGGAGAATCTGGAACCTCGCGCATCGTTAACAATCGTTTGGAAGAAATTTCTTGGACAAGATAGTTTCCTGCAGTTACGTCTTGAGTTTTTCCCTGCATTATCATTTCTTCGTCACTTGTTGTGGGGCTTTGAATGGCTACATTCACAATCTGCATATTTTTGCTGTTCATTTCACCCATATCGTCGCCATAATCACCATCATCGTCTTCTTTGTCTGAATATTGGGCATCCCCCGAAATATCCACCACCATGTTTCCCGGAAATAAGAGAAATTCATCCCCAATCTGCTCTGACTCTAAGGGACTCGCTATTACTTCATTGATGTCTGATTGTGAAAAAGTTTCTATAACTGTTATATCGTCACCGTCATTTTGCTGTGCTGCAGAGCTCAGTGATACTTCTGTCGATACGACGCCGTTATCATCGTCGTAGTCCATCATATCTTCACATGGTATCCTTTTGCCACCAGGACTAGTTGTGTTTAAAACCACAACAGGTCTTTGGCCACTACTCTGTTCTTTTAAGTCTGTAGTTTCGGGGACTTTCTTTCCCGAAATAATTCTATGTTGTAACGGTCTGCTAGTGGAAGTATTCG